AAATTTAATTAAATGAATTAAACTTTTTCTGCTGCTTTACTTTATCTTTCAGCTATATTTTCTAAATTTTCACTATTTTTATTAATAATTCTTAAAATTTTTTTTTAACAATTCCGGTTCATTACTTTGCCGCTTCATTCAATTCGTTCAGTGCAACATTTGCCGTTATAAAATTAATCAATTCACTTTGTAGCTATCTCAATCGCCTCTACTTCTATCAAAAGCGCTGGCTTGGGAGGGACTTGGGAATAGCAGTTGTTGTACATCTATATATGTTTACAATAATTTTCTTTTTTTTTTTTTTTTGCGCGCCTTGTATTGAATACGCGTATGCCAACCAACATTTTGATGAAAACCACACACATATATACTTAGTTACAGACACACATACATGTATGCATATGTATGTATTTTTATATCATTTCTTCACACTTACAACTAAATATTTTATTTTATTTAAATTAATTATTTTTGTATTTGAAACGTAAACTGTTACATTTATAACGGTTTATTAATGCAATTAAATTCGAACTTGTGAAAATATAGGATTTCTGTTTAATGTATAAACTATGTATGTATGTATGTGTCTAATTTGTCGTAATATTTACAGTACKTGTATGTGTGGATGTGAGTAGAAGCTAGAGCCGTTACAAACACCGCTACAAACGCTTATAAGTTAAATCACTAGATATCTTTTATCTTTCACTATTTTAGCAATGAGAAATGTTTTGCAAAAACAGCTAAGTTTTTAGAATTTTATTTGTTGTTTTTGTTAAACAATTTATTTTGTTTTATATTTTTTTTTTGTTTTTTGTGCAATAAATGAATGTGTTTCATATTTTCGATTTCTTATTTATTTTTTTTCCACGCTCTTGTTATTTTCAGCTAATTTTGCTTATTCAATTTTTCTTCACTTAAATATAGTTTTTTAATTAACTTGTTCTTAAACTATTTGCTTCAAGTATATTTATAATTTTTGGTAAACAAAACTCCACTAACACTAATACAATGCTATAAATTGAACTAGTATGCGTAAATACTAAGCATTTCTTATGCACAGTATAGACTTAACTTGCTGAATTACACACAACYAATACAATAGCTATACATACAAACACACTGATGTATGAAAAACAGCCAAACATAAAAAAACTTATACACACTCAAATACATATCACTATTGAGGCATAGTAAAATATAGTAGAAACAAAAAAATATATACAAAAAATTATTTCATCGTTAGGTTTATGATAACTTCAAATTAAGCTAATTCTAATTAATAATTTTTTTAAATTAATTTTTCTTAATTTTTTTTAACTCAATATGCACTTTGATAAGATTTTTTTCCCTTAAACTGCATATGATTTGATACACTGCTTGGTGCTTACGTTATGTTATGTAATTTGCTTATTGTGGTGAATGCTTAGGTGCTGTAGTGGAAGAGAGTGTGGCTGCTTCTGATTTGTGAATTGTTCGCTTGTGTTGATTTAGGGTGTGTAGCTTTGTATGGAGATTTAATAAAAAATGTTAAAAAAATTCTGTTATTGAGGAAATATTATTATTACCATTAAAACTATTGATTCTAATTTTAACAATTAATGTAAGTTAAAAAAAATCGAAGCAAATTTATACTTAGTTCTCATTAAAAATAAAATAAAAAAGTTAATTAAATTTTAAAAATATTGAATTTCGAATTTTAACAGAAGTAATTTCTAAAACTTTTYATAATTTTTTCAAAAARTCAACATWATTTTTTAGTTTTTTAAGCGATTTAATATATGGCTCATATTATAAAAACATTAAAAAAACTAAATAAATTTTAAAGGCTTGAATTTCGAATTTTCGCATATAGAGGTTAGACCAGGCCATGATTTTTGAAAAATAGACATTTTTATTTTGAGCATAAAAACTTAATTTGAGGTTACTTCAAATATTATTAAATTGGTAGAATAGTCAAAAGCAATTTATTTCACTCTTCGTTCCGCTCGAAGCGGAGTTCAGGCCAGCACATTTCAGCATAATGGGGAGTATGGTACATGCGGGCTACTACATGTATCTACCAGAATTTYGAACTGGAACTTCACAGTAAAATTTTTTAGTAAATATATGACGTTTTTATCATTGAAATTTTTTTAAAGCCACTAGTGGTTTTTTCATCAAATTTTTTTTTTTTTTTAATTCAAAAAAAAATTACATACCACTAAAAACACAGTACTTTACTAGCAAATGTTTTTCTGGTTAAGATCTACTTTTTATTTTRTTTGAAATATCACGAGTTCTTAAAGCCACCAGATTCTCTCTTGGAAAAGCTCATTTGGAAGTTTACCACCATTTTGCATCAAAAAGTCTACAAAAGCGTCAGTAAACACTCAAATACATTTTTAAAAAGCTGACAGAGGTGCATTTGATCCAAAAGTCAACAAGAATTTTTGTAAACATTCAAATACATGTTTAAAAAGAGTAAGAGAAAGAAACACAATCTCTTTTTTCTTACACCAACAATAAATTGTCAAAACTAGGCCTCTTTTTAGGACTCTACACTGACCTAACTGAGATTTTTTTTGTTTCAAATATTTTTTCTGAGCCATAATAAAAGTATATTAAATTAATTAATAATTTAATCATCAATTAAAGACAACTGAACAAGAAAAAGTTACACTAAAGCCAACTTAGCCAACTTCTGTAGCACACTAATAGAAATATAAAAAAAAAATTTACAAGCTTTTTGGGGCTTTTAACATTATTTAGCCTGATGTCACCAATATGCCAACCAAACAAAAATGTAAATTTTCCTAAATTCTCCCTTTACACTCCACTAAAATCTCCAAATAGTGGTCAATATAGTTACATAATAAACACAGACGCAGAGCGAAATATATGCAGTACATTCAATAATTACATTTAAACAAAACCGTATTTTACGCATTTGCTTTAGCTGCACCATAAGTGGACMCATTTGAGCCACAAATAGTAGCATGCGCCGCTCCTTCACTACAGCCATACGCACATTAAGCCATTGCAGATACATATGTTCATRTATTAAATACAACACTGCCATGCGAGCGCACAAAGCTGTCTCACACGCGCTTCACTTAAACACTTCATTTATCACAAGCRCTTGTCACCGTCGTCACTGCTGTTGGTGTTGTGGTCGCCGCCGTCGGCGAAACGACCAGTGTGGGCACATCGCTGGCGGCAAAATAGGTGACATGGCCATTTGGTGTGAATGCAATGCCGTTTGGTGTGCCTTTGCTGGCATTTGCGTGCAGCAGCGCATCACCGGCCCCGTTGCCACCACTAGCCAGATATTGCAAGCTATCAATGTTGCCCAATTTACCWACAATTTTCGGTATCCGATCACTTTCGGCGCCGCTTGACGTATTGCCGGTGGCGCCGTTGCCACTATGTGACGCATGTTGATTGTTGTTGTGGTGGTGGTGATGATGATGATGCTGTTGGCTGTGATGGCGMTGATGGTGATGGTKATGTTGGTGATGGTGATGRCGCTGCTGCAGCTGATTGGGCTGGCTGTCACTGTGATTTTGTTGTTTTTGTAAGCTGGCGGCAGAGCACGTCACRCCACAACTACTCACTGAGGGTGCGCTGCGACTGTAGTAACCGCAACTGCTGCCATTTTGTGTATTCAGCTGTTGCTGCAACTCTTTAGCGCCCTTGAGCGAGGACGTCTTGCGCATATTGCCGCTGCACCGCACATATTCACAACTGCGACAACAGTTGCGTGTCGATTTSAGCGTACGCTGATTAAGACTATTCAGRTTGGCCGCAATCAATTTCGCCTGTGTTGTCTTGGCCGGCGAAGTGGGTAGGCTGTCGTCTTCGCCTGTGGGCGGTGGTGTACTCAAACGACTCGAGCCGGAGGAGAAGCAGCCGTTGGAATGACGCGACGCCTCTACATCCGAGTCGTCGTCATCCGCTTCGATGGCGGCTTCCTCCTCTTCGGCGCACAAGTGCGCGTCGTCTTCATCATTCTCATCGTCATCGTTGTGGCAATTGTTAATTTCCTTCGGATTTTTGCTATCACTCTGCTCGTCGATTTCGCACTCGGCGCCTGTTGATATGCCATCGTCGGCATTGCTGTCACAATTCGTTGTGTTCTTCGTGCCGATCTCATCAGTCACATCGCTGCGGCCATCCGAAATGCAACCATTCTGCTTSGTCGTGTCTACACAACCATTTGTATTGCTGGCTGYATTCTCTTTATTTTGTACTTGTTGCGCCAGCTCGATCCAATGCTCGCGATTTTCGCGCACACCCTCGACCAGTGGCTCCAGTTTGTCGGAGAGATTGGCAAAAGCCTAAAGGAGTTAAAGGAAAACGGTTTGTTTTGTTATTGTTCGAAATTTTATTAAGTTATTGGGATCTCACCTCGTAAATTGGCAAGCAAATGGATTCAATAAAGTTGACTTGCATCATTGGTAATTCGTCTTCCTTCTCACGATTCATGATATCCTGAAAAAAATAAATTATTTTGATTAGACATAATGAATAAAGAGCACAAACTAATTTCAGTCGAAAAGTTCTCGAGCTAAGTTCGAGAAAGAAGATCAAGATATGAAAACAACCACAAGTATTGCCATAAAATATAAAAAACTGTGATTTTAAATCATTAAGTTGGAGAAAACTCTGAACTGATCGAACGGAATTGCTCAGTCAGAAGTAAATACCAGAAGAGAAAGAGAAATCCGGCGAACTTACATGCATCCGATCATATATTACGCGATGTTGTTGTTATGTCATGATAAGTCTTATGTTATGTGGTGTTATGTTATGTTATGTTATGTTGTGTTATTTTAACTTATGTTATGTTATGAAATTTTTTATATTTTACGACAACATTCTTGTCAAAACAAATCACAAGCGATTATGTATTCGATGAGAGATAAAAATATATATATTTTCATAGAGTACTTACAATGGGCATTATATTCAGCTCCTCCTTCTCCATATCACCCTGCTCGAAGAATTCCGAACTCACCAAATCGGCTACACGCTTCTCAATATCCCACGGCTTTGTAATAGCCGACAAATCACAGACAGTCATGCTCATAGCACGCAGTAAAGCACGCGGCTCGTCAGCCTCCCAATAGCTGAGAGGCTGCTCCTTYACGGATTGCAGGAAGGGGCCACGCTTTCTAAAAACAAGCATAATTTCATTTATACATATATCATGGTAGCATATTATTGGAATATCTTGTACCCACCTAAAATACACYGCCAAATCCGTCGATAATATGGCATCCTCCAAAACGCGTATGACGCGACAGTAATCATCTGATGACAAATTTGCCAGTATCTGATTTCCAGGACTATTCAAAATCATCAAACACTGATCGAAATGATGATGTTCCATGGTGGAGGTCGAATATAGTTGAGCCAATGGTGAGGAGGCTCTATAAAGATATTAAATCAKWGTTAGTTTTTGTATWTTCTAATTTCAACCGAGAGCACTTACTTAATCTGGAAGGAGTTATTAGTCCCCCGATGATCCAAGTCGTGACACAAGCAACCGATAATCAATGCCAAGCACTCGATCTCACCGAAAATCTTCCACCATTGCGTCGCCTGTCCATTATGGGAAATCTTTGATTAATCAATCAAAAGCAAAAAATAAACATTGGCAATTCAAACTCAAAGTTGTAGAAAAGAACTACGCTCTAATAGAAATAGAGATTTCGTGGAGCGAGAAAAATTATATAGAAAAAAATACATTGAAGTCAAGCTGGAAATGTTTGCTGAAACAAAATATACTATGAGTGCAGAAGAGTTTCCAAAACTAATTTTTRATCAAATTTCCAGTAAAAAGTTCAGCAAATCATACAAATTTATAAATTATAAGCAAAARTAGCAGCCATAAAAATTTAGAAATAAAAAATAAATAAAAAACGAGCCAACCGTAACACAGAACCTTTGCCAATTTCATAATTTTAAATCGTGCAGTTTTCTTCGTACATACCGTTAGTATGGCGAACATCATTTGTGCTACATTGAAGGCATGCCGCCAATTATGATAAGTAACATTGCGATAGTTCTTCTTGACACTTAGCAACCAACGGCAAAGCACCTCGTAGTCGATATGAAAACGCTCGACAAAGTCCAGATCGAGGAACATGCGCAGGCAGGCCTGAAAATAAAAAAAAAAAAAAACATTATTATAAACTTTGGCTGTACAAATTCAGCGGCAAGTAAAAATTAATATTTATTTATTTTTTTTTTTATTTTTTTAATAACATTATGCGGTGTTTTTCACGTTGTGTGTTTGGGACTTACCTTCAATGTGTCATCGTCCTCAAAATGTATATCATCAAAGCGAAAATCGTGTAGGCGAAAATGCGCTGCCGATGGCACACGTAAACGCTGGAATGAAATAAATAAAATAATTGTTACATGTTGCTGAAATGAGATTCTGAGAAATTAAATTTTGAGAGATCTTTCAGACTCTCCTTAATAGGTGCACTATTAAGGGTGTACTGTTCAAGCAGATCGATGGAGTTTGGTTTTGAAATGTTCAAAGTATCAGAATATTGCAAGAGTGAACAAAATACAGTTTAAGTCAAATTTGTCTATATRTTCTGTATATAAAGTACGTGGTCTAGTACCATAATTCTTGGATCGAATCAAAAATCGGAAAAAAGAAAAGGCCGAAACCACTGTAGCAGTAGCGAAAATTTTTTTTTTTTTTTTTTTTGACATCGGAAACAGCGCCAAATACGAAAAATATGTAATTTTTTTCTAAATGTTTCTTAAAAAATATACTCTGTAAATTTCAAAGGAAATTATAAAGTAGTTTTTTTTCCATAAAACCCAAAGATCCTCTTTTTTAGGCTGTCACAGTAGATGTGCCGCTTAGAAGTGCTCCTCTTAGAAGATCTTATTTATGCTAGTTGTTGCTATTGTTGCTTTAAAACTCATAATCAATATTGTGACCCATAACATTAATTTCCTCGGTTAGCCACTTAAAGGAAATTAGTGTAACCAAATAATAACTAAAATATAAAAAATATGTTGCCAACCATTTAATTGCTACCTTACTGCAAAGCACTAACTTTCATAAAATCTATTAAGTAAATGGATAAGCATGACAGCAATGTCGTCATTTGCATTTAAATGCCCCGAAGGATATCAGCTACGCCCACAGTAACACGTACATACATGTGCGTATGGTTACTATATATGTATGTGTGACTCTCTTTGAAATGTCCGAATTTAAAGAGAAATTGCTCAGATAACAAGCCGCAAACTTTTAATTGAACTATAGGCATAGCCACAATTGGAAATATGTAGCACATAGAGATTACATAATTCTTCTAACTGCACCTGACAGCAGTTAAGGGAATTGAGGTTAACTAACTGTAACTATGCTAAGTAATTATGTTGAATTGTATATTTCCTATTACGTCGTAATAAGTTCATACAAACTTAAATATATATACACATACAAGTATACATATATTTCTATATACTCCTTACTCAACTACGGCTTATGTTCTTGCTCTTATCAAAAAMGTGAGCTCATTTATTGGTACTCAGCGCAAATTCCGCATGACTGGTGCGCTGCCACATTACTGCGATGGCTTTAAGTGGCATGTTGTTGCGCGTTGTTGTTGCTGGCACAACAGTCAATCAATTATGTTTATGCTTAAATGGCTTCCGGGCTTCCTTTTATGACTTCGCTTTTGTATATATCTACCTTTAGTAGCACTCTGTGTGTGTAKGTATGTGTGTGCGTCAGTTGTAGGGTCACATACCGTTTGGTAATTAAAGTGATAGTTATGATTCCCTGGACACATGTCCTTTTAAGTTAATTGCTTTTATAAGGAGTTCATATACATTTGTGGTCAATTAATATTCGTTGTGGAAATGGTGGTTCTACAACAGCACTTGCCAAAGCCAATTGTTTGAGAACGTTGAACAGAAAGTTTGTTCAAAAAGTAGAGATTAAGTTTTTACTCACCTTTTGGTCAATTGATTAACTGTAGTCATTTAATTAACTTATTTTGCTATAGTTCTTCCAATGGCATATATAATCTTTGATATTACAAAACCAAAACTACACTACAAAAATAACTGTAATTCTTTGTCAACTTCCTCAGGTGAGAACCTTGAGAGTGACAGTACTAGTTTGGGTATAATCCTCGCCGAGGTATTCTTGCATATCTCTCGCAAAATGCCATTTACAAACATATTTCTGTCTCGAGGAACTTCTTATATAGGAGGGTGTAGAGATTCTAAGTCGAATATACAACTTATAATTATAATAAGATTTTCGTGACAAGAATATTAGCCCCTATTATGCATATATACTKACTTTTCGAAGACAGATATGTATCTTTGTAATTTATGTAATCAGAATTGAATAACGCGCCGTAATGTAGGCAACAGACAACTTTGAAAATAAAATTGTTGCCCACATTTAGGGGCATTCTCAATCGTAGCTACAATTTCATTTAAAGGCATCCTCAATAAAAATTTCAATTAAATTGTAAAATCTCTTTGTTCGCCTAAATGTARGCTAGTTAGAACTTCATTTAAAGAAGTATGCTGCCTACATTTAGGCAAATTATTCAATTCTGATTCATAATATTACAAATGTTCTATTAGAAATCTTAAACGCAGCTRTTTTGCTATAGAATTTTAGAAACATGAGATGTCTTTTTTCGCACAAAAACTTAGCCAACCGGTATTACTTTTGTAATTTTTTAGATAGTGTAAAATTCTATCAATATCATAGGTAGAGACATTATACAATGCATGATATACATAGAAGCATTAGGGTGGGTCTAAAACCCGGTTTTTTCTTTGGCTAGGTAAGAYAACCTCTAAGAAAGTCTCTCCAAGTATGAGCTTCATTGTCCTCCGCCAAGGAGTTTTCTATTTGTTTCTAATTATCAGATATAAGAATTCAAGTTTCATTTTCAACTACTTAAAAAATATCTCGTTTCATATATTTTTTATGAAATTTAGTGTTCTACAACAACAACAACAACAACAAAAGTTCTACAATCTGCTTAGATGGAGCATAATTACAMAAATATTCTGTAACTCTAGATAAATGAAAGAATGCACCACTTCTACCCTGCATATAGCAGAACCAATAAAAAAGTCTACAATACCAACAACACATACTAAACTATGAATTTCTATTTATTGCGACCGCACAATCATTTCGGACAGATTTAATTTGAATCTGCTGCAAAAACCCACAAGGAAATGTCAACAAACCGCAGMAAGATGATTATAAATGCCAAAGGAATACAAAATACTTGCACACACAAACGCATCAAGCGCATATGAATATGCAACGCGTTTGTAGCACAATACACTTGTAAACCAAAAGCAAATATGCATTTGTGTTTCAATCAAATATGGTTATTGAGGTCAAATTGGAAATGTCTTGCACAGCAGCATAACATTCTATAACATCTTCCCAGCGCGCGATTGACAGGCGAGCGCATGAGTACCGCATTGAAATGCAATTACAAACACACTCGCACAAATATGTACACACACACACAAGCCATGCAATGCAGTTACACGCTAACGGCTACACATGTCATTTGCAGTAAGCATGTGTCATGCAGCAATAAATTATACCGCAAAAGCTTGAAATTGTCAAAGATAAAATTAATTGCCAGCGCTTTGGCAGCTTACTATCCAATTTGCCGCAAACGAAACTGACAAGCCGACAGCACATCAGTTAAAGGGGGTAAAGATATAGCACATACATATGTGCTTCTAAATTCACACAGACATATCTCTTCCTGCCTCTTGCATTTAATTGAATTAATTTCAGCACTTATTTTAGACTCACCCTCAATCTATGCGCCTCATCAATCGTTGCTGAGGCATGATAGCTCAATACCTCCAATGTGACGCTCTGCTTGGCCATCGCCACGATCGCCTTCTCGTACATATGTGTGTTGTGTATGCCCATGCCGCAAAAGATGGCAAAAGCCTCGACGAAGTTCTCGTCGTTTTTGGTAAAGTTCTGTGGCGAGAGATAAATGTATAAATCAATAGGAACTCTATTTTCCATTTTGTTGTTAACTTTACTCACCAGATCATCAAATTTGTTGATCAGCTGTATGACGCCAATTATTTGACCCAGTGARTTTTTGATTGCCATACATAATATGGACTTGTGCTTGAAGTTGCCCTCGATATCGACATTGGCGTCGAAGCGATCATCTTCGTAAGCATTTGGTATGTTCACAGTCTGCGGAAAAGAGAAAGTAAAGAGAGTTTTGGTAGAAAAGACTTTGATTCGAAATATGTTTTTATATGATACTTTAAATAGAGCTGCCGTTTTCGTATGTTATTCTGAATAGCAAATATAGATATAGATTTTATGAGAATCAATTTTTTTAGTTTTCTCTGGAAGTTGTCATTTTAAATTATTATTTATTACTGTTTCTAAAATAAAAATATTCATAAGACACAGGAAAAATTTAGGAAAGTAATATGTAATGTACATTAAGGTAGGTGAAAGAAGATTACATAAAATTTATGTTAAAATATTTTTCAAACTATCAAGCGATCAAATTATTTGTTGCTTTGACCCACCCTAATAGACCCCCTTTGACCCACCCCAAATAATAAAATATATGTTATAAAAAATTTGGCAAGCGTCGCMTTTAAAAAAGGCACAGAACAACGCTAGGAAAATAATAAGGAATGAACATTAGGGTGGGTAAAAAAAAATTCCTTATAATGAAAACAAAATAAAAATATATATATATATATTCATGTGCCTAAAACCCATTTTGCAGAGTACCAAGCGAAAAAAAATATTTCTCAAGTGTATAATTTTAAATTTGCTTATAATTTTAGAATAAAAACTGATTATTAATTTTATTTTCCGACAATTTCCAGTTGAAATATTTATTATTTATTTAAAAGAGTTGGCAACTCCGGAATTTATATGAAATTTATACAAAATAAATTGGACGTCTTTTAATATATTATTAGTTTCTTTAMAATTTTGAGAGAAAAAATCAATTATTTAATTTAAAAATTTGGCAACCCTGGAATGATCTTACGGTTTTTAMTATTTTATTTTAACAGCAACCAATTACCCAATTCAATCTCCTATTATTTATTTCTATTTTAAAAATTTAATCTATTGTTTGGCAACCCTGGTCATGCTGAAGTTCATAGTTTTTAAACATCTTCCTTAATTCACATTACATATTTTTGAAGCTTCACCGAAATATATATATCTCTATAAATTTTAAGTTTTCGTAATAATTTCAAATTAAAATAATATGGAAGAAATAAGTGGCAACCTTGATACTATTTTGACTAAATATTTTTATAAATTCTATGAAATTTAAAATATTTGGAATTGGAGCAGATGATGCATTAATATTTTGTTTCCTA